TCAGGTCTCAAAAGGTTTGGGAGAAACAATAAAAGAAGGAAACAAAGAACCCCTGCAGGATCGTGCAAAAGCACTCATCTTCCTTCATCATCATCTTCATGATGGATTGAAAATCGAATATCTCACTGAGAAAGATCCACAGGTTCTTTGGGAAAATAAATGAAAGATTGCATGAAGTAAATGGTACTACATTTTTTGATGCAAATACAATATCAAGACAAGGACATGGACATGGATGTGGACGTGGACGCGGACGTGTACGTGGAATAAATCATGCAGGAAATAATCAACAAAACTATTAGCAACAAGACTATAATTTCAAAAGACACAAAGCAAACGAAAGTAGCACATCTAAAAGAATCATGAAGAAAGTTACTTTAGATCTGGAATGAAAAGACATTGGGCACATACATGTGGATCTCTATCAAAAATCAATCCAATGAAAGGGAAAAGTATAGACAAATTTTGCTGATTATGATGATCCAATTGATGTGACTCATTTGGATATCTTCGATTTCTTTGCTGATCGAAATGAGAATATTCACCATTTGGGGGTAATGTGATGGAAGATATAAATTAGTTTACTTTTTAGTATTTCCTTTCGTTTTGAAAGTCCAATTTAAATTATGTTCTTATTTATCGCAAAAAATAAAAAATAAATGTGGAACTTTATTATGCATTGTTAATTGAATTATATTTACTCTTTTAAATTAAAATTCAAGCTTTTTTAAATATATCTGTTTTCTTATAGGTTCACGATGAATTGACAAGATACTTGATTGGTTGATAGTGTAACTACACATACTGTTTTTCAAGACAAAAAAATATTTTTTGGATTTAACATTAGCAGAAAATAATGTTAATACGATATCAGGTACATCGAATATCGTTGAAGGCACTTTATATAAGCAAATCCAGAAGAAATTTGCATAGTTTTAAAGATATCCGCTGTAATGGATATCACATTGAGACGATGCAAGAAAATAATTTTGAATATCTTTGCACAACTTTTTTGTATCTGTCCAGAAGCAGATAAAAGAAAATTTTATGTTCTTCCATCGGGCATGTATTATATATTTA